CGGCCCATAGGCACCCGATAGAGTACTGGCCGGGAATTAGTAGTAGAGATCCCGTTATTGTCATTAGTAAATGCGCTGATATAATGAATCGCATGCTAAACCTGGGGCAGAAATTTTAAAAATTATTATTGTATTATTACAATTGGACAATGTACAATTTGCTCGCGGGTGCAATTATAATCGGGCAAAATCTATTTGTCCCCGGCACTGGCACCGATTTGCCAACACACAATTTGCCCTACACTAAAGCCAACTTTACCTAACTATACCTAAAGGGTCATTCAATAAGTACATACGAAAAAATGTCCACAAAAATTGACCCCCCTCCCCTACTTAACCCCTCGTACATAGGAGTTTAAAATGTATACGCAGACTTTTGGCTGAACCCCTTCTCTCTTGCGTACGTACTTATTGAATGATCCGTAAAGTTTATTTAGAGTTAGGTAAAGTTGGCTTTAGTATGTATGATCGGTGCCAGGTACGGCGTCGGTGACCGGTGCCAGTTTAGTACAACCCCTTACTTATAAGGATAAAATATGTTGAGCACCAGTCCCGTCGAGTATACGGAGGACGACACGGAAAAGATTTCTGCGGCGCTGTCTGCCGACAGTCTGAGCGGCGAGTACTGGAAGTAAGTGACCCCGAACTTCATGAAGATGTTCTCGTAGGTGACGTACGTGGCGTAAAACAGGACAAACAGGGCCCGTATGGCCCGTCGCGGCGTTTCGCTTCTGTCAAACAACTTAACATGGTCATTCAAATTGGGTGCTACCGGGTCGGGGCCAGTGCCGTGGTCAGGGTCTTCAACTTTATTATCCAGGTCAATTTCGTTCGACACTTTGTAGGGTCGTATAAAATACATGACCACCAGAGCCACGGGCACTATAGGTTTTATTTGCGCAAAATAATTAATATATAAATTAATATTCTAGCTTAGGGTTCAGTTCAAGTTGCGATTTTGGATAAATGGATAAATGTATCTAGAGCAATAGGCACCAAAAGTGCGACAAAATGCAACCTAGGAGTGACAAAAATGTTAAAAATTGATTCATTTCACAAAACACTAGTTTCAAGTTCGACATTATAAACTTTCAACTTTAGTAATTATTAATTTTAAAAACTTTAAAGTTTGTAATGATGAACTCGAAACTAGTGTTTTGCGAAATGAATCAATTTTTAACATTTATGTCACTCATAGTTTTCACTTTTTCGCACTTTTGGTGTCGATTGATCTAGAGTAATTATAAATCCACAAAAAAACATACGGGAAAAGCAGCAAACTCCCATGATAAGCGTCGGATACATCAATCGGTTACGCCTATCCAGCGAATCGTCGGCCGAAACGGATGTCTGGTTACGACTTTCGCCGCTAACGTAGGGCTTTAGGACGACCGACGAGATGATGGCGCCGACACCGAAGCCGAGCTCCACAATCTGGGCGATGGGCACACGGGGTCTGTCCCGCCAGAGCTCGATGGCCCACACGTACGTCGACGACAGGTGGACGCCGTAACTGAAGCCGAATACGACCGCCAACGCCAACAGCGCCCACACGTATGTGGCCAGTGGTTCGAGCGCGGCGGCCGCGGTTAGCAGGGTAAAGAATAGGGCCAGGGTCAGTTGCCGGTTTATGCGCTTGAATAATAGGCACACTGTGTGTGTGAAAGTATAAATATCATAATTAAATTATTATTATTATTATTATCGTGATTAAATTATATCAGATTAGTCACACCGCACGATAGCCACTCAACTAGGTATAAATTATTCGGTATAAACATTGCTTGTTTTTATGAATAGGTGCTCCCATCAGTAAGGTCATTTATTACAGTTTCAATTAGTCACATATACAGTATATCTTGCTTAAATTATCTGTTTAAAGTGCACGAGGATACCTTAATCAATGACCAATGGAAATTTTTGGGCAAATGAATTTAGTTTTTGTATCATAATTAAATTTAGAATTAAACTCGGTGAAATAAATACAGTATAACTATTATCATTATTATAATAATTTATTGTCATACATAACTCAAATTCAGATTATTAAGACTTATTAAGACTCCAAGATTATTAGATTTATTCATCACTAGTTTTGAGATAAAGATCACTTATGCTGACCCTGATATAGTGAATTAAATTCTAAGTATGGGTACAGTGGACACAAAATCATAATTTTCCGTACGCTATATGGAGTGTTTCGCTGCATAGAGAGTTACTATATGAAAAGTACACTGTATTATGTGTATAATACACGTAGAAACGTGATATAACAACAGTAATGCAAAATTGTCACCTAAAGGACCAAGGATTACGCCGCACGTCTCAAATGTGGTGAACATCGATACCCATTTCGTGGACGTCCTTAAAACGTACTTCATATCAACCATAATGAGTCCGTATATGGAATATGACATGCCCTTGGTGCAAAAAAAAATAATTCGTCAGTGACAAATGCTGTCATACATACAAATGCGAGGTTGCAGGCCACTAAAATGACCGTGTACACATATTTGCTATAATCAAAAGTAGTGTTAACCACCATTGCTGTATTCTAGTGTGTGTTTGCATGTACAGTAATATGATTAAAAATGTTTTAAAAATCACTTTTAACCTATCAAACACTTAGTGGGGATTTATAGTTAAGTTCATATAATATATAATGATTCATTAAATGTCAATTAATATACATGTCCTTATCATAGACTTATTATCCGAGTACTTTTTGTATGACAATTGGCATATCTATTAGACAATCAATTGGTGAGTACCCTTACTTAAAATAGGTAGTTCCCTACGCAGGTATATCTTATACCTGGTTTATTGTGTACCACCGATATCTAAATCAGCAACTGACTAGCATTTTAGTGGAGATTAAACATTTCCAACAAAATTGATATAGCTAATACTGTGCGTGTAAAAGTTTTTATATAGATAAAATAATAGAAAATTACTTATTATAATGAAACAAAATTTTATACTTATATTTTAAGTTTAATTATGAAAATTAGTTTAGAAGCATGAGTTTAATTATGAGTTACATTAGTTTTACCAAAACACTCCATATATAATAATCGAGAATTTATATTAAAATATTTAGCACAAAATTAGCATACAACTCCCCAGGCTAAAGATTAAAATTTTATATTATTTTTGCTATTCAAATAATGTTTTGTTTGATAAATAAATCAATAAGGTAAATTTTTAAAAAATTGTAAATTACTCCCATGTTATCTCAATGGGAAAACATAGCTAAGCAAAACATAACAGAAAGGGGTAAAAAATGAAAATAAAAATTATATTCCCTTCCCATGAGTTAATATTTATCTTTGTTACACAATATACTACTAATTATAGTCGTTAATCCGTTTGTCATCAGTTATGCTCAAACACAACGTTATATATACAGTATATATAATTTGCCATGATAAGTTATCAGTGTTGTGTCACGGGTTTCTATACTGTATACCGCATTCTTACAACATGTTGTCAATTATATTTCCCTATATAAATAGCAAACAATGTAAACCAACAAAATTACTTGTGAATTTCCAGTACTATACGCATAAACAACTGTTTAAAACTATTTAAAAAATCAATAAGCACAAATAGACAATGCTGACATTGTTTGTGCTCGTTGCTTACGTAACTTTTGGTAAGTGGTACTGTATATAAACACCCTATAATAATCAAACAATCAAGCAACCCCGCTATACTCATTATCAAACTAACCCAGGACTAACACATTGTCATTTTGTGAACGGTATAGCCATAGGTTGTCCGACGAGCGACAAACTGGACTTCCGGTACAAAACGGAAGCCCTATGGGACAAATGCAGCAAGGCCCAAATCCGGCAACTGACCATGGCCAACGTGGACGTCATCATAGCCGCGATGCGACTCCAGGCCATGAAATACCGGTTCTTTCACGGCGTGGAGCTCATCGACAAATTTTACTCGCGACTAATTGACAAGGCTCAAAAGTATATACCGGTGGCCTGGGCGGTGATGGACACCTACGAGCCCCCGCCCAACATCAGTCTCACCAAACACACCGGGGAGATATGGTTCGGCGGGTCGTTCGAAGGGTACCGGCGTTTGGGCCACAAGTTGGACGTGGAGCGCAAAAATCAACTTATTGTAACCGACCCGGAGCATGTGTTGGCTACCCGATTCGCCAAGCTACAAAATACGGTGTTGAGCCGTATTATGTGGGCGTCGCGTTTTATTAAGGAAATGCGCAAGGATACTTTATGGAGTTCGCTCCATATTCAGGTAGCTACAATATGATTGTCATTTATAATAATACAGTCTATGATTAATTGTTCGAGACTAATTTAGCAAGTTATATAATATATAACATTCTGAAAACTGTAGCATTCACATTCATTCAAATTAGTATTACTATTTTGTCCATGTTATATTATACAATTTAATTCTCATAGATACATGATTTGGTTCGACATGTATTTAGTGAATTGAACGCCGAGCTTGATGAATTACCAAGTGGCATTGTAAAGGCTAAGACATTACAGATACTAATTGAGGACATTGGCATATTGCTTATTTAGTGCCTGGATAATTTTCATTATGTCGACGTATATTTGAATCGTTGCATGGTAATTATTACTTATTTTTGCGAAACACATTGAAAACATGAACAAATATTTACATATATTATACAAAACATTTAAATCGTATATTAATACAATTATGAATTTTGATAATAATGATGGCCCAATATTATTAATAAATATAATTTTAATAATTCATCTACTAGAACAATGATGCTATTTTATATCTAGCTATTAAACAAAGTATGTTAATCTAAAGTATAAGTATGAATATAATTGTAAACACTTTTAAACTAATTCTAATTAATTTGATTTCAATACTTTTACTCACAATAGTTTGAATACATAGAATAAATTAAATATTACTTGACATTGGTAATAACTTTATTTGAATTCAAATTATAAATGCATAAACCATACTTACAGTATATCTATAATTAAAAACTCTTAAATTTTAAAACTCATGATTAAGTTAATAATTAGCATGTTTATGAATACATAATAACCTTATAATATTTAATATATAATATATAGTTTCTTATAATATATATTTAATCATTTGAAAATTAATTCACAAAATTCATAAACTGTAAAATTAAAGTTAAATTTAAAATTTATGATTAATTATTTATATTTAATATATCGTGATAAATGAACATATAATTAATATTATAAAGTAAATCTCAAAATAAAACTTTAATACAATAATCAAAAGTATGTGAATATTTCTGAAAACATAAACCCATTTATTTGGGAATACCGGCGCTAATATCGCTCTCGAAGTTGCAATCATTGGTGCCCCTAATAATCTTGAAGTACCCCTGGTCACCCCAGTTAGTATTCCACGAGTTGGCTACGAGCCAATAGTCGAGCCCACTGTCAGTACCCCACCCGACAATCTTGACGGCATGTCCGCCCTGATAGTCGCCGTAAACGTATTGATAAACACCGGACTTATAGTTAAAGAAATCCTCGTAAACCTGTATAACAGGGAAAAGGCATTCAAAAAATTAACCAAAAAGTTGATCAATTAATATGAGTACATACATCATACGTGGCCACTACCGGGCCATTTTGCATAATTTCCTGTTGAACTAGCTCATTTTGGTTACTAAACCCATACTCATTGGCACCGTAATGCAAATCCTGAGTATACCCACCATTATACCCAGTATTTGTGCATGCTCGTTTGCAACTAGGTGTAGGTGAATTGTCAGTACACGGGGGTAAAGTAGCCGTACCCTCGCCCATATGGTCGCACGCAGCTATGGAGTAGGGTTGACAGCCTATTTTACTCCGGTACCCACCACCGGATACCAGGCCAGTGTGCTGGTAGTATAGCCAGGCCTGTTCGGGCCAACCACCCTGACAACCGTCGCCGCACGATGAGCCACAACAGTCCAGTAGGTTCTCGGCCGACACCTCTACCGACTGATTAGAGGCGATACATATGCGGTCCGATATGACCTCTACCGTAGCCAATGCCCAACAGGACCCTCAGGTTTACGACAAATATTTGGATTATTTTTTAAAATGTTTTATAAAACTTTAAATTTATCATTATTTAAAATAAAATATGTATTAATATTGTTATGAACTATAATATTGGTGACAAATCAAGAGCTAACTTTTTTCATTTCATAGTGAGTATAATATTAATTCAAACTGTAAGTAGTTTCTTGATCACTTAAAAATATATAATATATGCATAATTTAATATATTTTGCTGTAACTCGCATTCATATTTAGTAAAATATTTCAAATATTTTCAACATAATATTATAACTTGAGCTAGATTAATATATATTATATGATAAACTAAATGATATTAAACATACCACATGATCCTTGGTCCCTAATCTCGTAAATGGTGGGGCATTGGGCCCATTCAGTGCGGGCATCAAATGACTCCGGTATAGGGACTGACACCCAATACTTGGCTTTTTGGGGTATGGGGTCTCTCTTGGCCGGGCACCTAACAGTCCCGTCAATACATGTTTTGGGATATTGTCGCCAAAATTTTTACCCGCCTCAAATAAATTATAATTTAGCATAAATGTAATAATTATTATATATTAATAAATACCGTCCAGCTACTATTATGGTTATTAATGTACTCGATAACCTCCTTGGTAGTTTCAAAGTGTTTTCCACAATCTATGTGTTTCTGATACGATACCGTAACCAAAATACTTGACAAAAGTACCATGAACAGTTTGAACATTTTTGTTAAAATGTTTCAATGTAGTTTTATAATAGTGTATATAATTATTTGTTAAGTTCAAAGTTATGTATGAAACTTATCAAGAACCTTTTCGAGTATTTATATGATTTTAAAATCTTGTTTGTTTCACAAATAAATCCTACGCAAAATATGCTTGATCAATCATTGTTATGTAAGTTTGCCTAAATTGTTTTCGCAAAATTTTAATAACAAATTAATTTAATTAACAAACGGATGAAAATGTTTTTATGATGTATTTCTAATAGGTAATATGTACTTTAAAAATTTCTTGGTAAACAATTATATTTGTACTACGTCAATTACAGTATCTTAACCCTTTTTAATAAAGAAAAGTTTATAAATTATTTTTAAAAATATTTACAAATATTTTTATTGCAACCGATTTATAATTAATGTTGTTTTTATAATTTATTTGCCAGATGCTTTTTAAGGGCTATTGCTATTTTGTTTTAGAAATATATAATAAATACAATACATAATAGTTTTCAAGGACATTATTATATTATGTAATATAATTAATTATAATTATTTGATAAAATAGTAAATATTATGATAGAAAAATTTGTTGTTTTATTTTCAAATATTATATTATAGACAATGTGATACAATGGGATTTATTCATAACTATTACATTCATCATAAATTATTCGTAAAATATTTCACTTTAAAAATAATTTTGCTAGGTTATCGCAGCAAGCCTATTCAATTTATAATAAATTGATAAAATGTTCTATAATTAATTGATAATTTTATAAAAGTACTAATATATGAATTATAAATGATATATCTTTTGAAATAACTATTATTTATAAATAACATAAACTATTAAATGTTTACTAAAATAAATGTCATGCAAATTCACTCAATTATGTATTAATATACCATTTTATGTCTGTACTCAATATAATGTTAATTTATTTTATATTATTAGCTCATTACATTTTATTAATTAAATTATATATTCATTATTTATTTTCTTTTTTAAACAAATTTTCTAACATATTATGTTAATATTTTATATTAAATCAATAATAATTATATAATATTAGTATTATAGAAACAAAATTATTTAACATTACATAATATATCATTAATATTAGGGTGAAAATGAATCTGCAATTAAAATCAGAAATTAAATATTTTAATTTCATCAGGCTCATGATCTTACAGAAAAATAAAGTTTACGAATGCAATACTAGTTATAATCATACAAATAATAATATAACATTACTCGGTATATGTCACGTAAGTAGTAATTTTTAATTAATATTTGTTTATAATTAAGTAATATGGTAATTTACTTTACTTAAGGATTATGTGTATGGTCAATATTTATCAATCATTGAATACATTGTTTGCAAATTAAATTATAAAATGACTTTTCAATACACACCCCAAGCAATACCACATGTAAGCCAAGAATCGTAATGATAAAATAAATTAGTTTGTAAATATTTATTTTTAAACTTAAGTGTGACATCACCCTGGCCACTTGTTATTCTGATAATTTGCTAAAATACAAAAGTCATTTGGGAATAGCATGGCGTGACAATCATTTAATTGAAATTATAAGTGGATTAAAATTAGGATCAGGCAACTCGTGGTTTGGTTTTATTTACATTTTTGAGTTTCAAGTAAGAGGTACTGGATTATAAATATTTTAACCTTAATAAAATTCCTTAATGTAGGTTTGGCTGTATATTTTACTATGTTGGATTATTATCTCCTTGTTAATAAAATTAATGGCAAATGAAAAAATATGTTTAACATCAGTATTAATTGATAGTTATAAATGTCTAACTAGGCAATCATGCTTGTTAAGTAATACAAATTATTTTAATCACCAACGACCATTAGTGATAATAATTTTTATATGGATTTTGTCGACAACTATATTAAGTTTATCATTTGGTTGTGTATTACTTAAAATATATTTTAATGTAAAATACGAGCCCATAATAAATACGCTGGATGATTTGTTGATAGAAAATAATCAAGATCTATTTATATTGGTTGACACGAGAATGACTACAAAATTACCACAAAATGTGGTTAAAACAAAAGCATTCAAGCATATTTTTACCCAGAATAATAAGTATTTAAAGCATAGTAATAATTCAGTGAATTTATTTGCACCAGATACATTTAATGATGTGGTTAATGGACAATTAATTTTAATTCAGCATAGTCAGAATACGAAAAAATTTATAAAAACACACTACGAGCATCAGGATATGTTTTCAATTAGCAAGCATAAATATTACATGGACTATGCATTTCAATTGATTAAACGTGGTCAACAATTTTCAAATATATTTATTAATATGTAAGTTATTTTTAAATTATCCTAACTAATAATAAATTATATATAATTTACTAATTATGTTAATTTAAATTTATTAAGTTATAAACGTGTTATCGAAAGTGGCCTGGATTATTACCATACTATGGTTGACATACTATTTACAAATATGGCAAATAAGATGTCAAAAATTAATAAAAATAATAATTTATTAATGAATACTTCAAATCAGTATAATTTGTATTATAGTATACGTATAATCGATATATTTAGCAATATTATTATAATGTTATTATCAGGTTATGTATTATCTATAATATTTATTTTAATAGAAATTCAATCTGATAAATTAAAACATTAAGTCTAGTTTTTGAATTACTATAATTATCATTGATATTGATTATAATTCATAATAAATAAATGTTTTTATTATAAATATAAATATTTAAAACTAATCTTGGTTGACTATTAATTTTTGAGAATTAAATTTATTACTGCAAATCATTTATAATTTATATTGTTTATTTTATTATGACATGAATATAATTATAAAACACTATTAAAATATTTATTTGTTACCTTGTCAATAAAATTAAATATAGAAAACATGAAATTATATTTATTATTGAATAAAACTCTAGCTATAGTAATATTTTGTATAAAGTTTCTTTTAATATTTTTTGAAATCAATCATTATTAATAATAGTAAATAAAACAAGGGTCACAAGTGACAAAATACAGATACGCTTTTCTAGTTAATTTAATTTAATATTAGCAACTAAACCTCAAATCTTTTCTTAAATTATATAATCTTATATAAACAATAATAGTAAGTATAATTTATTTAATACATTATACTGTATCTCATAAAATTAAAAACATTTAAATATGAGTTATGGAGCGTGTAAAAATATAATAAATTAACTGAACAGCGTATATCTTTTGATTAACAGAATCAATAGAAATACGCTTTTCCATTTAATTTAATATATTTTATCACCCACCTCTAAATATACTAATTAGTTAGTTCTAAAATTTTAAAATTTCAGTCCATTGTTGCTACACTCTACTTTCTATTTATAGCATTAACATTAGCATTTGTATTATTCTCAACAATTCTGAGCTATTTTCTCACTTTCTTGAAAATTTTAAAATTTCAGTCCATTGTTGCTACACTATACTTTCTGTTTATAGCATTAACATAATTAAATATACCTTATTCCTATTATTATTATGTAAACATTATTTATGTTGTAATACTTATGTTATTACTAAATATGTTTTAAATATCGGGTGTCCCATCGTATCAGTAAGATTTCTAAATTAATTTTAAAATATTTACAATTATATTTTGTTAACGAAAACTATACCAAAATGTTGGAAATTTATTAAAATTTTATGTACACTTCATAAAATATTCACCAAATGCCTATCCTGGTCATAATTTTAGTTTTACTGCATGCATGTCTGTTTTGCGTAATACCATAGTAAAACTACTGTACAACTGTCACCGAATG